TACAGCCCCTATAAACTGTGCCTTTGTGTTTAACTCAGCTAATCAGCTCACCATATCAAAACTTCCTAAGGCTCTCATTCAAAGGCCCAGTAAAGCTGCAATTACTATGACCCTGAGCCGCCTTGCTTGGGGAAGTGCATTAAATATGTTTATAGATGAGGTTAGAAAAACTCGTGTTTACCAAAGCGAATGAGTTCATTAATAACCAACCCCAAGCCAGGAGATAGAAAAACAATGTGGGCCTTCACGGGTCATACTTGGATATAATTTCTGAAGATATAATTTCTGAAGTTGGGACGATTGTTTATAATTCATTAAAAAAAAGGGGGGAGTTGTAATTTAGTATAATGAGGGAGTGACATTCTGACTGGAGCTCTTGGAGGGGGGGGTGGGGAGAGAGAGAGAGAGAGAGAGAGAGAGAGAGAGAGAGAGAGAGAGAGAGAGAGAGAGAGAGAGAGAGAGAGAGAGAGAGANGAGAGAGAGAGAGAGAGAGAGAGAGAGAGAGAGAGAGAGAGAGACAGAGAGAGAGACACAGAGAGACAGAGAGAGAGACACAGAGAGAGACAGAGAGAGAGAGAAATCCCAGGGTTTGTAACAAAGAGATCAGGGCCAGCCTTAGGCGGGAGGTGTTCAGCCTGAGGCAATAGCAGTCCACAGAGGATCCCAGGACTGCCTCCTTGCTGGAGTCCATCCGTGAACAAGGTCACCCTGAAATGACTAGACTCCAGGCTCCTCCCACAGGATTTGGGAGCAGCGTGAGGTCTCAGTTAGGACACAGACTTCTTGAGTATGCTTCCAGTGTCCACGCGATTGGATGGTGGGCCAGTGTCAAACGCGGAGGCTGAGGGCACAGGTGCCCTCTGAGTGAGGCAACGGGACGATCAGGAACACGATGCTTTTCATCTCATGAATGCTGCCGGTCACACAAGCAGATTCTTCACGCGTATTATTTTTGAGAAATAAAATCTCAGATCTGCTGTAAATTCAGGCCAGGAATATTTAGCAGATGGGCAAGGTTTAAGCCACAAACCTATGGGAAGTTTTTACACTAGAAATAGAAAGAGAGAGAAGGGGGGGAGAAAGATGGAAGGAAGGAAAGAAAAAAGAAGAAAAGAAGGCAAGGGGCAAGGGAAGGGAGGGAGGGAAGGGAGAGAAGAGGGGAAGGGAGGAGAGGGAGGGAGGGAAGGAAAGGGAGGGAAGGGGGAAGGAGAGGGAGGGGAAGGAAAGAGAAGGGAGGAGAGGGGAGGGAAGGGAAGGGAGAAAAGGCACTCTTAAACTGCTGCTCTGAAAATAAAGGCTTCTGTTTTCCACAGTGACTCACTAACCCTTTATTTAGACAGTTGGTAAAAACAGCACATCACATATTTCACACGCTCCCCCCAACACTGCTGCAGCTTAAAACAGGATCACAGGTTTTTTTTTTTTTTACTTCCAGAGGGAAGCCAAAATCTCCAGTAAGGCATCTTTGCTTTCTGTGAAAACGAAACCTAAGTGTATTTGGGAATGGCTGATGTTCCCAGGCAGACCCACAGCACGGCACCCTCTGGTGCACATATTAAGGAGAAGGATTAAGACCGTTATGGGGTTTTTGTTCATTTGCTATTCAGCAGTTCCCAGAGATGGGTTTTAATGCTCACTCAAAAACACAAGGAAAACATAATACTTGAAATCTATCATCTTGCGGTTTGAGCAGTTTTTCTTGTTCTCACTGAGTTTCAGGTTAGCTACATGATGCAAGGAAAACGTGAGCCCCCAACACTGTTCAACTGGATCCAGTGTGGTCCTGAGGACACTCGATGGCCACCAGCTCTGGAGATGCATTCCTTGGGAAAAGCATCGCAGGGCTCTGAAGTAAAGCACCAAGAAGCCTTTAAAGAGCAGCCCTCACCAGGGCAAAAGTTGTGGTCGTGTGTGTGTGTGTGTCTTTCTGTCTGTCTATCTGTGTGAACATGCATATAGGCACTGAGCTGGCCTGTGTTCCCTGGGACAAGAGTATCACACAATCAAAAGAAGATTTGAAGATGGAGAGTTTTTCTAAGGAACCGGAGACCCCAACATGCACATATACAGACACACAAGCACACAATACACACACACATACATACATGCACATACACAAATGCACATACAACCACATAAGAGTCCACAAAGATATCTCTGCACACATGCACAAGAGAATTCATACAAAGCCACACATACACACACGTGTGCACATACACGTACCAGAGCTAAAAATGTTGGGTAAAGATACATCTTTCCACAGTATCTCTCCCCTCACAATTGAATGTCTGAAACCCCCACTCCCAGGTCACAGGAGATGGACCTGTCCGAGGGTCTTCTAACGTTGGCTTCACCACAACCTCAGCTTAGTATTTGCTATTACTACTCCATGCCAAGGAACTCTGTCTCGGTAGACAGAAGATGAAGCTAACCTCTGAGAAGTGTTTCCATCTGGGACTTGGAATGACTACCCTCCTTCACCATGCCATTTCTCGTCTTTCCTTTGGCTAGAAACTGATTTCTGCGTGAATGCAGGGGTCTCATCCGATGGGCAGTGCAGCCCTTTTCACATCTCTGGTATTCCCTGCAGAGCTGTGATGACCGCAGTACAGCTGCAGCCTAAGCTGTCACTCCCGAGCTTTACGGTGCTTTGCTGCATTAGAGCAATGCATGCTCCCCCTTAGCTCAGGTGGAATGCAAATGAGCTACAAGAGGTTATGGAAACATTGACTTCACATTGCCTTGCAGATGCAGCATTCCACACCAGGGGCCTAAGCATCTTCCTGCATCTCATCTCCCTGCACCACCCTGAACCACCCTGCATCTCCCTGTATCTCATCTCCCTGCACCACCCTGCACCACCCTGCATCTCCCTGCACCACCCTGCATCTCCCTGTATCACCCTGTGTAACCGTGTGTGGTTCAAGTCTCTTAGTGAACAATTGCGGGCTTTGTTTAGTTTCAGACCCCAGTGATGGCATTAGACAGATGTGTCCCTGACCCAACACTGTCCTTAGCTGTCACTTCTCTGGGACCATCCAGTCCACAGTACAGAATCCCTCAGAGGTGCTTTCAGCCGGTGGTGGCCATTATTTGACATTTACCGGCACAACAATGGTGTTAAGTCATGGCACAAGACTCTGTGTGTGTGTGTGTGTGTGAGAGAGAGAGAGAGAGAGAGAGACAGAGAGACAGAGAGAGAGACAGAGAGACAGAGAGAGAGAGAGAGAGAGAGAGAGAGAGAGACAGAGACAGAGGGAGACAGAGACAGAGACAGAGAGAGAGAGACAGAGACAGAGAGAGAGAGATTGATTGATTTTCTGGGTTACTGCAAAGGGTGGGTGACTTGCTGAACCTTCCAGAGGGCCCTTCCGGCTTCGTGACCCGTAGGCAGCCCTCTACGTCAGCAGAGCCAGAGCTGTTGGTCTCACGGGCTCTAAGGCTCTGAGATTCACCTGCAAGTGCTAACATTCTGTCAGTGTTAGCCACCTAGGTACCGATTACCCCGACCTAGGGGAAGGAAAGACATGCTGTGCGGGAAGAAACCTCTTGGCCTTACAAAGGTCACTGCCAACTGCTTTGTACTAGCAGAGACGCCCCCATCAGTCAGAGACAACCTGTCACCTGCTGGATATGCAGTCTGTGTGACAGCCAGGCTGAATAAACACTTGATCAAGTGTGATCTGCAGGGGAAGACTCAGCTGAGACCCCCAAGAAGGGTGGTGGCTCTGGCCCTGACTGGGAGTTCCCTCTATCCAAAGACCTGGGAGTCGCTCTGTGCGCTAGAACCCAGTTTGCGAGCTTCGGGCAAGGGGCTGGAGGTTGAGAATACAGACAGACGCAGAGACGGACCGACACACAGACCTTTAAACACTGATACCAAAAGCCCCAAGAATGCTCCTTTGTGTTCAGGGGCAGATTATATAGAGATAGCCACGCTCCAGCCAAACCCACCAGAAACCACTCTCCTGCCATCAGGAACTCCTGAAGGTCTCGTGCTCAGAGCAGCTGTAGGCACTCAGATCAGGGGAAAACAAGTTGTTTACAAGAAATTCAGGATCTGGGGTCTCACTGCTCCCAACAGAAATGAGTAGAGCCACCTAGGTACCGAATGCCCCCACCAAGAGAAAGGAAAGACATGCTGTGGGGGAAGGGACCTCCTGACCTTACAAAGGTCACTGCCAACTGCAGGTCCATGGAGCATCTCCTGCAGGACATCTGTTGGGGCGGATCTGTGCAGTGCTGGCTCTTCTGGAGGCGGATCTGTGCGGTGCTGGCATTTCTAGATCAGGGTGACGCTGGGGCCAGTATCTGGAGATCAGGCCATGTGACGGTCAGCTGCACCACCATCCAGCACGAGGGACCGTCTGTTTCCAGGTGCTGCCCATAAGAACCTTCAGACCCTGGAATGCAGGGGCAAAGGGAGGGAAGTACCTCCTTGGGCCTGCTGTCAACTCCCAAGTCCGTTCTTCTTTGAAATGAGGACACCAGCATTCCAGACAAGGTGGGAGGCACGCTCCTGGAGAAATCATCAAAGAATACGGCTGTGCTTTAGAATAGAAACTCTGTCTTCCATCTTCAGGAGGAGGTTTCGGGAGTGGCTAGGCTCACAACTGCTACCCCTCAGCTGTCTGTCCTTTGGGGACTGAATACCTCCAGAAGATGCCTCACTTCACACTTATATTTAAAGTCCTTCTCGTCATTCCCCATGTCTCTCTGTAAACGGCCAGGGTAGCTTACAGGGTACAGAATCACATAGCTTCTGTGTGCCCCAGACAGACCCAACTCCTGAAGAGAGTGGTGGAACTTTCTAGCTGGAATGGCCCATATCCAGGAGAGCGCTCATCATTTGGGCTTGTATTTGCCCGCTTTGTCAGTCTCTGAAGGGCTGGCTGCCGGGGAAGCTGTGAAGAACACAGGAACGTGAAGGCTTTCACATGCACAGGTCCTAGCGCCACGAGTCTGTGACCTTGACATGTTCTGATGGGATGTGACCCCGTTTTTGAAATCCATCTTTTCCCCCAGTTGTAGTAACTTGACTGCATTTTCCAAAGTTGGGACCCCTAGCAAGCTCATCATTCTAGGAACCTGGGGCAGACATGAGGAAAAGTCCTTCTACAGCTGGTGCCTTTTAGATGCTCCGTCCAGTATTCACCCCACAGGATCCTCAGATGGCACCAACTTTTTCCGGACCTCCCCACCCTCTCTTCAGGGTATCCTCTCTTCATTTTGAGTGGAAGTCCGATCGGGGTGACTAGGGGAGGGGGAGAGATAAAGGAGAGAAAGTCCACCTTTGGGAGACATTGTTTCTTTCCCGAACACATTTGATCTTAACGCAGACAACAGAGAGTGAATGCATTTTCTTGATGCAGAAATTTAAATTCACTGCTTACCTTCTGGAAGGAGAGAGCCTGGGGGAGAACGACTGACTGAAAGTGATAACTGTGTTGGGGAGCGACGGGGAGAAAGTGGTGGAGGATGACAGAGGGCGAGGTGGGGGGCAGAGATGGAGAGAGAAGACGCTAGAAGATAGAACAGAAGGGCGGAGAGAGGGGCAATGTCAGACAAGTTTGTGCTAGGCAGTGTCTGCCACAGGGGTGTGTGCAGGAGGCTTGGTCTCCTGGCCAATGTGGAGAGATCGCTGCATATGAGGGCGCCAACCACTCAACAGACTAACTCCTTGATAGATTAATAATATTATGGCATTATCAGAGGTGGTACAAAGTAGGACGTGGGGCCTACCTGGAGGGAGCGGACCACTGGGGCTGCACCCTAGAAAGATCCACTGCCTTTGGCCGCCCTGGGTCTTTCTAGCTCACTGCTTCTCAGGTGCTATGCAGTGAGCAGTAGAGTTCTAGCATCCCATCACCACGCACAGACATACACACATACATACACACACACAGACATATGCACACACAGACATACACGCACACAGACATACGGACACATACATGCACACACAGACATACGCACACACATACACACAGACATATGCACACACAGACATACGGACACAGACATACACACACGCACACAGACATACGCGCACACAGACATACGCGCACACAGACATATGCACACACAGACATACACGCACACAGACATACGGACACATACATACACACACAGACATATGCACACACAGACATACACGCACACAGACATACATACACACAGACATATGCACACACAGACATACATGCACACAGACATACGGACACTACATACACACACAGACATATGCGCACACAGACATACATGCACACAGACATACGGACACATACATACACACAGACATACATACACGCACACAGACATATGCGCACACAGAGACACAGACACATACATATACATACACACAGACACACACAGAGACATACATGCACACAGACACACGCACACACAGAGACACGGACATATGCACACACAGAGACACAAACATACATACACACAGACACACACAGACATACATATGCACACAGAGAGACAAACACATACAGACACACACACAGATATGCACACAGAGAGACACAAACACATACATATACACAAACACACACACAAATAATAAAAGTAAAATAAAATAAAATAAAATAAGGGACCTTGCTGGGGCAGCAGGATGGCTGTGATGGCAGTGGCTGAGAGTGAGTGACAAGCATTAGATGTGAAGAAGGTTCTAGAATGGCATAACTTGAAATAGACTATTCCATGGTAACGACCATGATATTGGAAGCCAGCAATAGACAACTGTATCCCCCCTAGAAATGAGTCTATGGCCGAGAATGAGCTCCTGGAAGCCACACTTGTATAGAATCACAGTGGTAATATATAAACCACTGAAGTAAAGTTCAAGAGGTGTGTAAATGCCACCTCATCTTCGGTATTAAAAATGCCATTTTAAAGTATGCGTTGTGTGGGTGGGGCTCATGAATATTAAATATCAGACCTTGGACAGCACCAATCAGCATGTTCAGAATCTTACAGCCCTGCACGGAACTGTACAGACAGCTACCCAGGCTAGCCCTGGCCCCTGAGCCTCATCTTACAGCCCTGAACAGGACTCTGCAGACATGTTACCCAGGCTACCCTTGGCCCCTTGAGCCTCATCTTACAGCCCTGAACAGGACTCTGCAGACATGTTACCCAGGCTAGCCCTGGCCCCCTGGCCCTCTGAGCCTCATCTTAGAGCTCTGAACAGGACTCTGCAGACATGTTACCCAGGCTAGCCCTGGCCTCTGAGCCTCATCTTACAGCCCTGAACAGGACTCTGCACACATGTTACCCAGGCTAGCCCTGGTCCACTGAGCCTCATCTTGGAGCTCTGAACAGGACTCTGCAGACATGTTACCCAGGCTACCCCTGGCCCCTTGAGCCTCATCTTACAGCCCTGTACAGGACTCTGCAGACATGTTACCTGAGCCTCATCTTGGAGCTCTGAACAGGACTGTGCAGACATGTTACCCAGGCTACCCCTGCCCCCCGAGCCTCTATCAGCCAAGGCCCTCAGTGGGTGCCAGGAACAGTCTGCCACAGTCATGGGTAACGGGGGGAGGGAGGGGGGGTGGAGAGGATGGAGGATGGGCTTCTCTGCAGCCATGGTGGTGGCTCCGCTCAAGCACAAACTCGCCTCTGATTTCGGCACCCAGTGTGTATTTTTCCAGACAACTGAGTTCTGTTACACAGCTTTGGTGACCCTATGCCACACCCCTCTATGACTTCCATCTCCAAACCAGTCAATGGCCATTCCACAGTCCTGTTTGTCTGTGGGTCAACAGAACTCACTCATTCCTTGTACCTTAATTTGACACACATTTATTGAGGACCTGCTGTCTTGGATGCTGGGTTTAGTTATTGTCACCTACTTCCAAGTGGAAAGCTTCTACTGAGGGTAGAAATCAGACACCATGGATTAGAATAGAATGTTCTGGTCTCACAAATATAATCAGAGCCCTATTAAATACGAAGAAAGATGGGGGGCTGGAACACTGCGTGCTGCATGCTGGGCTGAGAACCTGAAATGCCTCTTTGGGGTCCTCGTGGACTTCTAGCCGATCTCCTGTAGTCTGAGTTACCCCCCACCCTATGACGCTGTAACCACTGCACAGCACCCAGTGGGTAACGCATGCGCAGACTCAGCTCTTTCCCTGCTTTCCCGGAGCACAGCAAACGGTGCAGATGGAGACCTAAATGAGACTCAGCCGTGACCTCAGGGGACTCACAGGGCAGTGCAATGCGCTGTGTGCGTTCCTCTCACAGAAGAAACCTGGTGGAAGAAACCACCTTGTCCTTGTGGCTTAGGTATGAAGTGTTCCCTGTCCGAGTTTCATCCCTATCGCTCTGACAAAAAAAAAAAAAAAAAAAAAAAAAAAAAAAAAAAAAA